ACGTCTTGCACTCTCTCCATCATCTGTGCTCAGTCTCCCCCCATTCTCACATTTGGTTTCAGATGGCTCAGCAATCGGGGATGGAACATTCTTCTCGTGGCACCTGCCCTCCTACAAGCTATACTGCACCATAACACAATACCCATCATCATGAGACCTCGCTTTAATGGTAAATATAGTGCCTGATTGGAATAGCGATAAAAAAAGTAACTTATTTTTAATATGATTTTTTAAAAAGTTAAATTAGGTAAAAGTTATATTGGATAATATGATTTATGTTTGGATTGACTTTTGAAAAATTTAGATTAGGTAAAAATAGAAGTGTTTAGATGATGATTGAATAAGTTTAGTTTGTAAAATTACCAAAAAAGATATGACTTCATTAGATAATGTAAAATGAAAAAATTTTATCAATTTACATAATACCATAATTTTAAATTATTTTAATTGGAAGAAGTTAAATATAATGAAATAATTATATTTAGCTTAGAAAATTTACAGAACATATTTTTTAATACAGAAATAATTTCTAAATTTAGATTTAATTCAAATAAAAATTTTCTAATATATCAGAGAAATAAGATGCCAAAAGGAGGAAAAATCTCTACATAACTCTAAGCAAAAAACTACTGTTAACCATGTTAAAACACGTGGACATGTATTCACCCCTTCTTTTATTAAAAATTTTTTATTTATAACTTTTCAATATCTCAATAACCCATTTATCCCCACAGGCAACCGATCATTTTCCTTTTCTTCGTCTCCTTCAAAATTTGGGCCACCCAACCTGCAACGGAACCTGTTAACTCTTGCCTTGCTCTCGATGGTGCGATGGCGACTAAGAGTTGCAGACAACCGACAGGGTTAGGCGACGGTAAGGACAAGTCGGACGAGAGAAGGAAAGGAGTAGATAAAGGAGCAAGAAAATGAGCCAAACAGAGTGAGTGGACAATGGGGCTGAAGAGTGGGAAAATTTTTTTCTGAGAATAATTATTGTTTTAACAGTACCTTACCACCCATCTATGAGCATAATGAAAAAGCAAAAAGCAACTCTGAGGTGCTTGACTTAATGGGGCTTATGAATCCAATTCTTAGCCATTAAGTAAGATAGAGAATAAGCTCATCCAAACAGGTTAGAATTTCTTAAGCATATTTATGAGCTAAATAAGTTATTTTCAAACAGAGCCATCTTAAAGATAATTTCTAACTATATTATTTTGAAAATTAATTTTTTTCTATGTAAAAATAAATAATTTAAACTTTTAAATAAAAACTATTCAAATTAGATTTTGATGGTTTAGATCTGATGACTTTAATGAGTTTAGGATGCTCGTTGTAATATCCTAAATTTTATTTTAGGATTTATGCAAAAAAAATTAAAAAAAAATTAATTTAAATAATAATAAATAAAACAAATAATATTATATTATTATAAAATAATATTATTTGATTATTTATAAAAAAGAAACATTCCACCCAAAATTCGGAGGAAGTTGGGAGGAAGGATTTATTAGAGGGAGCTCCCCTAATAAATGTGTGAGGGGTATGAAAACATTACCCCACACTTTCAATTTTCCCTTCCTCGGGCGTCTAAGAGAAAGAGAGAAAGAGGGAGAGCAAGAGCAGAGCGACGGCCATTGTAAAAGAGAAGGCAGGCTTTAAAAATAATTTAGATACTCAAAATTACCTCCTTTTATCAAATTTTCTTCATAAATATTTTCTACATATTTTAACCTTCATAATAGTAGCATTATTATAGTAATTAGAGAAAATTTTGAGATTTAGTTATGGGCTCAGTGTTATGTTTTGATGAGTGTTAACCGCAGTATTATAGATCTATTATAGTTAATCATTTCTATTGGTTTAGATTTGCCCATTTGTTGATCTTTAGTATTTAAATTAATTTATTTAGTTAAAAAATCTGTTATTTATGAGATACGTAATATTTCTACCGATCAAAATTATGTTAAGTAATTTATTTGGGTTGTTTGACATATTATTGAGTTTTTAATCAGTTCAGTTTTATTTATTACGTGATTGAAGGTTTTAAAATAATTGTTTTAGCTAAAATTCTATCATTTGTGAAGGAAAAAAACTCTGATAGTTATACCATTAAAATTTTAATTGGATTATTTATTTATAAATATTTGAGGTACTATTGAATTTTTAATAGTTTGGTTTTGAGGTTTAAACTTGAAATGAGATTTTTAGAATTTAAAATATAATGATTTCATATTTGAAAATTTTAGAAAAATTCTTGTTATTAAAGTAAATAATCGAGAGGATGTAAATGAATATTTTAGCCTATTAGAAAATTTATAAGTTAGTTCTAAAATACTTAATTTTGGGTTATGAAAGTTGTGAGAATTTAGAATAAAAATTAAATTAAATTAGACATTTAACTAATATATATAAGTTTAATTAATTAGCTTATATTATGTGATTATATTAATTGTGTAGATTAATTATTGGATTATTGATTTGAGCACGGCATTGATTTTGTGGTAATTCTTTTTATAACTTTGGTGAAAGGTAACTACTTTCTACTTGTCATGTATGCTTGTATGATATTTGTGAGCGATTTCGAATTACATAAGATTCTTGAAATGTCATTAGGCTATGATTTGAGCAATGAAATATATTATTCTTGAAATTGCCTTGAGATACTTCATGTTATCACAAAATAATTATGAATTTATGAATTTATAGATTTGTCATGTGGAATATGAATTTATTGAGAAATAGTCTTGAGGATTGCTGTTGAATTTTGAAATTTAGAAATATTGATTTTGGTAAATGTGAAAATTATTATGTTATTAGTAAATAATTATTTTATAAATCTCATGAGTATAAATATGAGAAGGGATGGTAAACGTTGATTGGTGGGAGACATATTATAGGGAGAATAAGTGGGTGAATTTTGTACACATTATAGAAGTAATAAGGTGGTAGAACGTCAGATGTACACTAGTTGATCCTTTAGCCCTTTTCATGTGTTGTAGGGTATATAACACCTCACTAGTAGACTAGAGGGGGAACCCATGGTCTGATCTTGTATTTTGTGGATTTTGTCCTGTTCACATCACTTGATCAGTGAGTTTATTATATTGAGCTACTAGTCACACGAGTTAGTACTAACCCATGAGTTCAGTCAGAGGATATAAGGTGTGAAGAAATAAGGGGGAATTGAGAGTGGGATATTATATTTTGATATATATATATATATATATATAACCATGTGATAATTGTGAATGTTATGATTTTTGTAACTATTCCACTTGACACATCTCAAGCACTTATTTGTATGCCTGATAAGTAGGATTGTTGGTTACTGAGGCTTTTTATCTCACTCCGTGATTTAACACTTCTAGGTAATAGCTCTAGGGCTTGTCAGTAAGGAAAGGCGGCGGAGGCTTAGCTATTAAAATTATCTTGTATAACTTCCTTTTTATCATGTGATGAGTATTTGTATATTGTCACATATGGCTCTTTTTGCACACGCTGATTTATCTAGGACAGATGATCTTAGTTATTTTTGTTACTCGGTTGCTCATGTTTGTAAGTTGTGGACCTACAATGACTTTTGAAAATAGTTTATTACTGTTAGTTTGGAAGAATTTTATTCAGAAATATCATGTTCTGGGTTTAGAGTTAAATGTGATGTTCTAGACTTTGTAAAACCCAAGGTCTAGTTATTATGAAATATTATTAATTACTATTTTTATACAATTTGTTTAGTAAAACTCTTATAATCATGATAAACATTTTGAATACTTGGTTCAAATCTTTTTTATCATGGTTAACATTTTTTAGGCAAATCAAATTTCTTTTTATAACCATGATAGTCTTTTTTCGAAAATTATACCAAGATTTTTTCTACCATGGTTAGTATTATTAAATTTTGAGTTTAAAAAGTTAGTAACAGGTTGGAGATAACCGTTGTTACACTCATTATTTTGATGAGTACCCAAACTAATTTCAATAGTAAATGTAATATTTAAGGGTTTTGACTTATGTCCTTTTTATCATAATACCAAATAAACATGAAAATAAAATCCATAAAAAATATACTTTGAGCATAAATATCAAAGTTTCATAATCTAAAATTCCAAATAATCATAAGCAATGATCTAAATAAGGTTTTATGTTTTTTTTTGGCCAACGGTAAATAAGGTTTTATGTAATCCATCGATAATGATAATCATCGGTGTTAATTTTGCAAAGCACCAATAACATAATTCAAATAATTATATCAAGAAAGTTTGTTGATTCTTGCCATTTCTGAATAGTTTCTAGTGGTATTCATAAGTTATGTCAATTAATTCCTAAATGAACCTAAATAAATGATCTGAAGTGGATCCATTATGATATGATAGATGTTACATTTGATCACAAGATTTGATACATATGTGAAAGTTTTGAAATTAATTTCAACTTCAATTAAATACTAACATTACTACTACTTTCAACATTAAAATCTCATCAACTAAATTAGTGATTGAAATTCAACTAAAAAGATTAAATCTTGCCGGTAAGAAATTGTCAGAACTACCGACCATTCAAATGAGATCCCGAACTCGTTAACTATTGGAGTTATTTACTTCTAGCAATGTTTTAAATTTCATAACCTCTCTAATATTTTTGTCATATGGTACTACCTCCATCCTTAATATGCCTTACAATGTCCAAAAAATACATACTATGTCATTTTCTATTTTATTTTTCTCACCAGAATGTCGTTGTCTTTTTTAGTTCCTTTATCATCTGATAAATATATGATGTCCAATGTCAAGCGAACCAAACTCACTTTTTCAATTTTTATGTTTTTTTTTTCCCGTCTCTCTTCTCTTTTCTGTACTCATTTTTTTAAATAGTATTCCCTAATATTAAGGCTTGGGACCCTTTTATTCCAAAAAAAAAAAAAAAAAGTTGGGACCCGCCTGTCTTCTTTGGTTCCCCGTAATCCCTAGAATGGTTGGTTCCATTGACTGCGGTGGCTTTCCTCAGTGCGTGGACGACGAACATGATAGGTATGTTAGTTTGATTCTTGGCCTCTGATTTCTTCTCCTTTCCTCTTAGAAATGTGTTCTTCCCAGTCAAGCGCTATGAAGCAGATGTTAGTGGCTGGCGACACGCCATTTCTTCCCGAAGAAATCATCACAAACATTCTCAAACGACTCCCTGTGAAATCCCTGATCCGATTTCAGATTGTGTGCAAACATTGGAATAATCTCATCAAAACCCAATCTTTCATCGCTGACCACCTCCACCACTCCACTCATCAAAACCCTTCTCTTCTTATCCAGCAGATTCGGACGAATCCTTTGTGCTTGTATTTGCTCGATTGCCACATGCAATTCCGTGAAGTTGAGAAGGCCCCTTTGATCAGTTCCTTGGTGTGCGCTCGGATCATCGGTTCCAGTAATGGCTTGCTCTGTCTCGCCGATTATAGGAGATGCCCACCTTCCCCTTTGTTATGGAATCCAGCTATTAGAGAGGTGAGACAGCTGCCCATAACTACTGATCATTTTGAAGGTGAGTGCCTATTAGGATTTGGTTTCAGTCCTATCATTAATGATTACAAGATAGTGAGAGTTTACGAGCTTATTGTAATTTGTCAAGTGGAAGTGTATTCATTGAGCACAGGATCATGGAAAGACATAGAATTTGAGAACCTAGGGGGTGTAAGTCTTGTCAGTCACGCTGTCACTGTTAATGGAGTTATGTTCTGGTATGGGTTAAGCTTAGAAATGAGTATAGGAAATACTTATGTGATAGTTTCATTTGACATAGCATCAGAAGTGTTTAGAGTGATTCCATGGCCTGCTTCAGCAAGTTATTCAGGTAAGCTTGCTACGTATGAGAACAAACTTGCTACACTTTCTCATTCTAGGATTGGAAATTCTCAATATTCTTGTCTTTATTTGGGTGTGATGGAGGAGGGGGGTACAGGTTCATCTGGGGAGAGATGGAATTCAAGTAAGAAATATATTCGCAGTTCCTGTCCTTTCAAGTTACATCTTGGGGCCATTTGGAGAGATCAAATTGTGTGTGTAGTTTTTGGACTTCCTGGAGTTAGCAGTGAAAGTGAAATGGCAAATGATGAATCCAAAGTTGGCTTATACCTTTTCAATGTCACTACTAATGAATGTAAGAGGTTTGCTATCCCCGGACCTAGCTTTCATGTAGATGTTTTCAATTATGTGGAAAGCCTTGTACCGCTTGGCAACATCCACATCGAAGAGCATTAATTATTGTATTTAAGATATACCTTCCAGATCTGTTGTAGATTATTCTGTACTTATAAGGCTTAATGCCGTTGAGGGATGTTATTCTGAATGATGAATGCTGAAATCTAACTCCTGATATTTCTTGCTTTATTTGACCCGTCTATATTTTCAAGTTGTTCTGTTTTTTTTGTCCCATTCAAAAGGTCGATATTTAATATCCTTTAATTGTTGGTGTGTAGATTATGCGGGACATGTTGGACAATCTTATCAGATTTTAATTTTTGTGTAAACATTGGTTATGAACTAAGGAGAAAGTGATCGTTAGATTACGATACACCAGAACAAAGCGATTTTGCAGTAAAAACAAGAGGCTATGGCGTCTTTAAATATTAAATATTTTCAGTTTATGATGAACGGGCTCCTCTAGTGCGTCTAAAATGTAGGCAAAGAATCATGCATGCTTAGTTGCTTACCCAAAAACCACCACGGAATCAATGTAGATGCTTCCCTCAGGTCATGGGTCGATTCATATTCAACTGTATCCTTTCTACATAAAGACCATAAATAACTGCAAGTAAACTCAGTTCAGGGCATGCTTGTGGACAAGTTAAAAGTAGGTTCTGCTTGACTTGAGCATTATTATATGGAAGGATCAGCTTCAAGGGAAGCATCTTGGCTTATATATCATCAATCAACCAAAATTTGTAACAAGTTACTCATCCTAAACCAAAATAAAACTAGTACTAAGTTGCAGCAATAATCAGTCATCAGTCACAGAAAAAACAAATATGATACTGTAATCTAAATTATTATACAAAGCAAAAAAAAAACAGATAGAATCCAAATAATTCTGTCAAGAACGTGGTCAATTCCTCCATTGTATTTCTACTGTGTTCGTACTTGATGGATTTGAACTGTAATCTTCTTAATACAAGCTACGGTTATTCAACACTCACATGCTAAAATGCCTATTAGTTCCTAAGTAAACCTCAATAAATTAGTTTCTGTTATGACTTTTTAATGGATGTTGTACATATCTCCATGGATACTGATTATGCTTTCAAGTAGGTCCCTGTGATATTTCGCCTTAGACAGTATATAGGAATCATATTTGGACCTCAATCCTGGTAATCTAAGGGCCTAAAAGAAGATTGTGAAATTTTTTATCGATCAGTCATATTAGGGATACGGTCTCAGCTGAGGTATGTGACCGGATAGTAAAAATTCTTAGGATAGGGCTGGTGAAGTAAATAAGTGAGAAAATTTTCTAGTAAAGTGTAAAATCACTGTTTGTTTGTGTGTTTAATAACTCTTTAAAAGTACTTAAAAAGTGTTTTTCCAAGATAAAAATGGCAAATAGGAAAGTCATTTTGGAGGGAGATTTTAAAATCGAAGAAGTGTTTGGGAGGGTGCCTGCCCCGCCCTCACATGAAGCCCCAAGTCCCTAGCGGGCTAGCGGCAGATCTTTGGAAGCGGAGGCACTGCTGATCCGCAGAGATTGCTTCGTAGAGTGAAAGATCTGACGGTGGTCTGCTGTGTTTAATGACTTGGCAAGCTGGCATGATTGTAATATTTTTCATTCATTTTGACATTATATAAGCATAAAATACAAGATAATTTCATATGCCTAAATTTGGAAATTTATGACAAATCAGAGTCCGAATGTTAACTATAGACCTGTTTAAAATAATTTATAAATAATTTTTTAATTATGATTTATAATATATAAATTTTATTTTGATTTAATGTGTTTATAATATATAACGTGTTTATAAATATTTTTTAATATTATTCTAAACAAAATCTATATACCATTTTGAAATAGTTAGTGGTTGAGGAGGGGGAAAAAAATTAGTGATTGAAGTTGGCCAATAATGTAAATTTCCGACCCGACTCCTCTCCTCTCTTTTCTTCTTCGCAGTCGACAAAAAACAAGGTAGGTATATTGCTTTGATTCTTAAACTCTAATTTCTTCTGCTTTCCTTCGAGACATCTGTTCTTCCCAGTTTGCCTCCATGAAGCAGCCGGTGATGAATGGCTCGGCGCCATTCCTTTCCGAAGAAATCATCACCAACATTCTTAAGCGGCTTCCGGTGAAATCTCCAATTAGATTTCAATGTGTGTGCAAACACTGGAAAAATCTCATCAAAACCCCATCTTTTATCCAAGACCATCTCCACCACCTTCCCCCCATCAAAACCCTTCTCTTCTTGTCGAACAGACTCATAGAGATGATCCTTTCTACTTATGTTTGCTGGACTACGAGTTGCAGTTTCGTGAGTTTGAGAACACACCTCTGATCGATTCCTTGGCGGGCGTTCACCTCGTTGGTTCATGCAATGGCTTGCTCTGCCTCGTGCATTATAATATCCGTCCTCCCGCCTCTTTATTGTGGAATCCCGCGACTGGAGAGGTCAGGCAAACGCCCATAGTTTTTAATGATGTTCCGGTTGGTTGGCATTTCTGATTTGGGTTCAGTCCTATTCTTAATGATTACAAGATAGTGAGATTTTCTGAGACTAACGTGATTTGTGAAGTAGAAGTGTATTAGCTGAGCACAGGGTATTGGAGAAACATACACTTCGACAGCATTAAAGATGTTCGCATTTCTGGTGATGGTGTCACTATTAATGGAAGCATGTTTTGGTACGGGTCAAGGCCAGGTGTGGACATAACGGGTGCAAATGATACTGATGTGATAATTTCATTTGACTTAGCTACTGAAGTATTTACGGTGACACCATCGCCTGCATCGATAAGCCATTCAGGTGTTAAACGTGCTGTGTATGAGGGCAAACTTGCAATAATTTCTCATCCTTGCACTGTAAGCTCTCAAATTTCTTGTATTTATTTTGGGGTGATGGAAGAAGGGGCTACAGATTCATCTGCGAGGAGATGGAATTTGAGTACAAATTATATTCGCAGTTCTAATCCATTCAAGTCATGTGCTGGGACCATTTGAAGGAATCAAGTTGTCTATATTGATTATGGAATGCCAAGACTTATTAGTGAAACTGAAGTAGAAATGGAGAATGCTGAACCAGAACATGGCCTAGATATGATTAATGTCGCTACTGATGAACTTAAGTGGGTTGCTGTCCCTACAAATGGACATAGCTTTCGGGCAAGTGTTTACAATTATGCAGAAAGCCTTGTGAGAATTGGCAAAATTCAACAATGAAGAGCGTCAATCCCCAATGTGAAGTATTACATTGCCTTTAAGGTTAGCAAGAATATGTTTGTATGAATTACTTTGTTTAAATGTTTTTGGTGGAAATCTGTTTGTATCAGTTTAGATCATTCTATAGTTTGATGCAGATGTTAGAATGATAAATGCGGACCAGATGTTTCTTGCTTTATTTTGTCTATCTATAATATCAGATTGTCTGTCTTGCCTTTCAAAGATGGATATATTTAATGTTATTTATGAGATATCTTATCAGATTTTAATCTTTGCTTTAAGATTTCCTATGAATTTGTAATCTTTCATCACAATTCACCACTACAGCTCTACATACTGAGGGAAAAGTAATCCATAAATACATCACAGTTGTGAAACTTTGTGCAATACATGAGAATCCTAAATATTTTGAGTTTACCAGTGTGAAAAGGCTCCATGAGATCACTCAATCACAGCATTAAGTATCCAATAACCAGCATCATATATGGCAGTAACAGCAAGGTTCTTTATTTGACACAAGCACACGAAGACAAAGTCATTAGATATTGGTTCATGCCTTTCTATTGAGAAAGTTTACGTGTTTGGAGCATAATTACAAAAAAGAATGAATGATGTTTTGGTTTCTATTCTATGAAGAGCTGAATGATTTTTGTTGGTATGACTGGCATTTTCTGTGTGGAAAATAGTATGCACTGTGTTATTCTCTTTGAGCCAACACTAAATTATGATTTTGATATACTAACAGGAGCTAGATCTAACGAAATGGGTTAGTCTCCTATAATGTGATGAACCAAAGTTTGAATCTTTGCTGGACGAGGTACTCACATTTAGTGCTCGACAGTGTTTCGAACAAAATTGCCTCTTATAAGAATTGTCTCCTATAAGAGTATACCTGTGTCTAGCCCAAAAAAAAAGAAGAAAAATTATGATTTTGATACGCCTCCTTTGAAATACTCCCTCTGTTCCTTATTATAAGAGACAAATAACCGAATTACGTTGATCAAAAAAGTAGTTAAAATTAGTTAAGAACAATTAATGTGTAAAAAATATAATTTCTTTCCAAAAATACCCTCATTAATAAGGAGAGAGAGCATGAGAGAGAACAATTAAATTATTGAAAGAAAGAGAAGTAGGAGGGAGAGAGAGTGTGAGTTGGAGACAATAAATATGGGTAAAATAAGAAATCAATATTAAAAAGTAGAAACAACTTTTAAGTGTCTCTTATATATAGGAATATGTCATAAGCATCAAATGTCTCTTATAATAAGGAACGGAGGGAGTATAACAGAACATTTCCTTATTGCTTAAACATGGGGGTTGAATGGACAATCCTATGGCCTATAGGGCACTTCAATCCTATAGACCAACATGTTTTGATTGATTCCGCTGTAATTTTATCCAGGTAACTTTGAAGTTTAACAGAAATGATTGTTTGGAAAAAATAAATGGATTAGAAATTAATATATATCAGTATCCATTAATTAAAGTTTTTTTTTTTTTGGACTCACATTAATTAAAGTTATTCACAAAGGGTGAACCACAATGTTCATATGATTTGGCGCAATTAAGTTGCTTAGTTGCAAGAAAATGCAAAATTAGGGGTGTTCAAGGCCGGTCCGTCCCGGTCGGCCCGTTTTGGTCTCGGTCTTATTGGGACGGGACGGATCCGTCCTGAAATTTTTTGGGACGGGACAAACCGGGACGGGACAAAAAAGGGACCAGGACGGGACGGGACACGAGACGGGGTTGTCCCGTCCCGGTCCCGTCCCGGTTCCTTTTAAAAAAAAAAATTAATTTTTTTAATTTTTTATATAATATCATTTTTTTCATATTTTTTTTTAAGATTTGAGACTATTGTATGGAACTATGGATATATTTATTTAGAGTTTTTATATTTGTTAATGATTTGAGATTATTGATGATTAGAATCTTTAGCAAGTTTTTATTGTGTTAAAAGCTTTTGTTTAGAGTTTTTAATAACTATTATATGTAATATTTTGAACTTTTGTTTAAGAGTGCCCAAACAAATAAAAAAGATGTTTTTATAAGATTTAAGCTCAAAAAAATAATAATTAAAAAAAATCATATTTTTTAAAAAAAATTAAAAAATTAAAAAATAATAATTTCGGGACGTCCCGGTCCCGTCCCGGATCCGTCCCGTCCCGACCAGGACCGGGACAACCCCGGGACGGGCCGGGACACGGGACAGATTTTCTGTCCCGTTACTGTTCACCGGGACGGAACCGGGACGGGCCTGTCCCGGTCCCGATCCATCCCGTGAACACCCCTATGCAAAATGGAGATTCATTAAAAGATGAGGAAAGCGAGTGTGGGAACTGGGAAGATAAACTTCACAGAAAGTTGATATCTTCTGTTTGCTTGATTCATTGAATGATGAAGGATTTCAAGTTAAAAATTACTCCTCCGGTCCTTAATATAGGACCCAATTCTTGAGTTGATTTTGGTCCTAAATATAAGACCCATTTCTCATATTTATCAATTTTCTCTAAATTACCCCTATGAATACTCTCTCAACCATAATTAAGTAGAAGAGAGAAATTGGGTATTAAAAAAGATGATTATGGTGTTTTAGGAAAAATGTGTCACTTTTCTTATAATTAACTAACTTACCTAACTTCCTTAATCTAATCAAATTAGTTAAATGGGCCTTACATTAAGGACCGGAGGAGTATTACTTAAGGAATAATTATAAGTAATTTAATGGACCGGCAATCAAACAAGTTTCAAAGCTTGATTCCCCTTGAGTGTTCATATCTCCAGCATTGAATTTTTCATGTAATTTGCCCCTTTTTTTTAAGGCTCCATTGAACAAAATGCATCATTCCATTTTTTTTATATTTAATACTCCTTCGGTCCTTAATATAAGACTTATTTAACTAATTTGATTAGATTAAGAAAGTTAGGTAAGTTAATTAATTATAAGAAATGTAATATGTTTTTCTTAAAATATCATAATCATCTTTTTTAATATCCTCTCTTTTTTTTCTACTTGATTATGGTTGAGAGTATCTATAGAGGTAATTTAGAGAAAACTGACAAATATGATAAATGGGTCTTATATTTAGAACCAAAATAAACTCAATAATTGGAACCTATATTAAGGATTGAAGGAGTATCTCCATTTTACCAAGTATTCAGGTGCGTGGGTTTCTTCTTTCTTTGTTCTTTTTCTGTTCGTGAAAGCTTAATTCAAAATTTGAAATCGATTTCATTCTTGATACTGAACATAAGGCCCGATTGTGATCGTTTTTCAATGAATTTGGTGTGATATAAAATTTCATACGCGTAAATTTTGAAATTAAATTAACTTCAAAATAAATTTAACAACGTTACTAAAACCGTTTTCACTAAAATAATAAAATCTAAAGGGGTCAAAAAACAATAAAAGAAACTCATATATGATTTTAAATTGGTGATTGAAAATTAACTAAAAAATTATTTAAATATTAAATTACATGGATTTTGTAAATGCAGTTTGAAATTTTATACTCCTCTGATCTTTGATATAGGAATTATTTTATAATTAATTAACTTAATTAAATTTCTTAATATAATCAAATTATTTAAATAAATTCTATATTAACTACTGGAGGAGTATCAAATTCTGAACGTTTAATATGGAATTTGTTTTAATATTTAATAATAACTATAATATAACATGTGGATGGGCAAGATGGGCCGAAAAGAACGAAGAGCAGCTCGTTTCCACCAAATGATCTGTAATCCCTTTATGACCCCCATCTGATTCCGATGGTTTTCTTTTGCGAGATTCCTTCTTCTCAGGGGCCAACAAGCAAACGCAGGTATGTTGTTTTGATTATCAGTTTCTGATTTCTTTCCGGCAGAGCACTATGAAGCAGATGGTGATGGATGGCGCCGCACCGTTCCTTCCCGGAGAAATCGTCACCAACGTTCTCAAGCGGCTTCCGGTGAAATCCCTAATGCGATTTCAGTGTGTCTGCAAGCACTGGAAAAATCTCATCAACGATCCATCTTTCATCCAAGACCATCTCCGCCACTCTTCTCATCAAAACCCTTCTATTTTCATCGGGGAGTCTGGTGGAGATGATCCTTTCCGATTATATTTGCTCAATTGCAAGATGCAATTTCGCGAGTTTGATAAGGCACCTTTCGTCGGTCCCTTGGTGGGCGTTTGCCTCGTCGGTTCCTGCAATGGCTTGCTTTGCCTCGCCGATTACAACATCCGTCCTCCTGCCCCTTTATTGTGGAATCCGGCAACTAGAGATATCAGACAAATCCCCATAACTTTCAACGATTCTCGGATGGTTTGGAATTTCGGATTTGGGTTCAGTCCTGTCATTAATGATTACAAGATTGTAAGATTTTCCTCACATCGCCTGGATTTTGTGGTTTGTGAAGTGGAAGTTTATTCATTAAGCACAGGGGCTTGGAAAAGCATACAATTTGACAACATAAAAGATGTTTGTCTTCTTGGTCATGGTGTTAATGTTAATGGAGTTATGTTTTGGGAAGGGAGGAAGCATGTAGAGGAAATGGATAGTGATGAAGCTGAAAGTGAGGATATTGAGGATCCTTATGTGATAGTTTCATTTGATATGGTATCAGAAACTTTTACAGTGGTACCATCGCCAACTTCATGTTATAAACTTGCTGTGACTGAGGACAAACTTGCTATAATTTCTCCCTCTGAGATTAAAGACTCTCAAGATTCTTGTATTTATTTTAGGGTGTTGGGGGAGGGGGCTATAGGGTCATCTGGAGAGAAATGGAGTTCTAGGGAATATATTCTTAACTATCCTTTCAAGTTGCATGATTTACGTGCTGGGGCCATTTTGAGGGATCAAATTGTCTGGATTGATTTTGCATTGCCCAGATCTAAGAAACTCAGAATGGAGGATGCTGAACACCTATATCTGATCAATCTCACTACTGATGAACGTAAGCTGCTTTCTTTCCCCAGACTCGAACCTGGCTATGGTGTTAGTGATTTCAGATACGTGAAAAGGCCTGGTTTTGGTATTTTCAATTACGTGGAAAGCCTTGTGCCGGTTGACAACATTCAAATTGAAGAGTCTTAATTCTCAAAGTTAGTTAGTGCAGTTTTAAACATTTATATATATGTATGTATGTATGTATGTATGTATGTATGTATGTATGTATGTATCTTGGTTGGAATGTATCCTTATCAATTTAGACTTCAGATTATTGTAAATGAGGTTTGATGCCCTTTGGAGATAGGGACATGGCGTAGAATAATAAATGCAGACTAGATGTTTCTTGCTTAATGTTACCTTCTTTTTTTTGTTGGACTTGCTTAATGCTGCCTATCTATCTGTAACACCCAGTTATCCCTTTTGCTTTCCAAAGGTAGATATATAATGTTATTTAATGGCTGGTGTATGGATTATTTTGGACTTTTTGGCGCAAGCTGAACCCAGAACATGAACATGAGCTTGTTCCCATATGCGCTTCCTTCTCCTCCTAAAAAAGAATCACTCTGAAGATGTGAAGTGAGACATATAAAATATAAAATACAATAAACAATAAACTATGCTATTTATAAGTTATGAAACAAATAATTCTAAATTATATATTATATAACTCATTTAGAAATCTGGCCAGTTTTTCTCTCCCCTGCGTGAGCTCTCCTTCTTCGCGATTGAGAGTCAAACTATTATGTAATCATAATTATAAATAAAAAAAATATTTAAATATGATATAAATAGAATTTAAATAATATTAGTGGGATTTAAGCAATATTTAATTATATTAATAGTCTTTGAATAGATTAGGATGTCTGGAAAATATTTAGATAAGATTAGAATATCTATTTAAATTTATAAAGTGCTTATAAATAAGTATTTTGCAATTTGATTAGAAGTTATTTAAGACCTGTATGTTTTGATAAAAAAAATTTTAAACAAGTTTTGGAAATAAAACACAAACAAAATGGTTTGGTTAACTGTTTTGAAAAAATTGTGTTTGAAAATAAACATAAAGAGATTAGACAGTGAAGCTTTCATGAGAAATCGAATTCTCAAATAGAGAAAAAGCTATTTAATAAAAAAGAAAGAGTTTCCCAATTTTTTCAAATAAAAGACAAGAAATACAAAGACCAAAAATTACTAAAAATTGTTTTATTTTTTAATTTCAAAAAATAAATTTCTGTTTTTGTATAATTAAAAACACTTAACTAAAATAAAATTACTTACTCACCTCAATAAATCATCTATAATGGTAATAATTGGTGTTTACCTATCATAACAAGGCAATGACCATTCCTACTACTTTCACAGTTCTTTTATTTTTCTCATATATATATATATAGAGGGATGAGATGTAATTTTAATAATAAAGTTTATTTTCTCATTAGTAGGCCCCACGAAATTAGTTTGAAGGTGCATTTTTAATGACGAAGTCTATACTATTGGCACTGGACACCATAAAGTTTATTTGAATGTAAAAGTATATATGCATTTTCTAAAAGAGGAAAAAATATCAAAATTCATTAACTCCCATTAACGTTTGTTAACTTTATTTTTTTGGGTTGCACCACTACTACATTTTCTCTCCATCTAATCTCACTTTCAAGTCTATTCATTTTTCTCTCATCATAATCAACACACGCTCTTTCCATCTTGTTGTTTTTGTAACACCTACTTTAACTATACCAAGGTGTTGTCTAATTAGCTATCGAGCTATTAAATCAGGTTTGATCCTGGCAAAAAAACAACATGTAGTTTTCATTAAACCCTCTTTTTAAAACTTCTTCCAAACATGAGGTTTGGTCTTCTATAACGGATGGAATTTTCTTTCATTGCCATTGCTTTATCTTCCGTCTTTTTTTTGCTTACCCCTTCAAATTCATCTTCTCAGATCCCTTTTTCTTTTTTCATTATTTTCTCTACTCGATTCATGGCTTCTTCTGATTCCACCACTGATCAATCGAGTCCATTTTACATCTATCCCAACAAAAATCCAGCATTAGTTCTTGTGTTCTCCACCTTTGAATAGCTCCTACTACTACCATAGATGGGCTCGATCCATGCATATGGCTCTTCTCTCCAAGAACAAGTTGAAGTTTATCGATGGATCAATTTCTTCATCGGCTTTTACCGATTTGACTTATTTTGATTGTGAACACTGTAATCATTTAGTCCAAGACTAGCTTCTTAAATCTCTGTCTCCAATGATCATGTGAAGTATTTTGTGGTTTGTAAAGCTTTTGACATCTGGAGTAATCTTCGAGCTCGATACTCACAATATGATCTCTTCTAAGTTACTGGGTGACAAAAGGAAATTTATAGCTTAAAGCAAGGGAGTTTGAGTGTTAATGAATACTACACTCAATTGAAGATCCTATGGGATGAGCTAGACAATGTTCAGGTTCAACCTCTTACGTTGTGTTTAGTACGGGCTTTTAGAGGAAAGGAGAGGGAAGTGGCTCTTCCCCTCTTGTTTGGTTGGGACATTTTTTTTAAAAGTGGAAGGAGAGTTGCTTTCCTCCCCTCATTTGGCTTCCTTTCTCCTTCCCGGTCTTTTTTGAGATTTTTTGCAGGGGAGATGAGAATGAAAATATTTAAGTAAAATAACATAATTCTCCTTTTATCATCTCTTTGGCTCTCTGGCTCTACATTTCTCTCTCAATCTTGTAATTTTAATAACTCTCATCAACTTAACTTCATTCTCTTCCTATGCGTAACAAGTTAATTAGAAAAATTAAACTACTAAAAAATTTCTAAAAAATATGAAATGATAAAAGTCATTGGGACAAGAAAAACACTAGGAAATATTATAATGTTTTTGAGAAAAGTCAATATAGAGTAATATTAGCTTAAGCTAGATAGAAACATTAATAAGCATATTTTAATCTTTTAATTAATTAAAAATAAAAATAAGGAAATAAAAGATAAAAAAAATAAAAGTGTAGCTTTTATTTTGAATCGAGCAGAACCAGTAAACAATATTATGAAAAACAAGGGATTTTTTTTTTTGGGGTTTTTCTCAATGAGTTGTGCTTGTGGTAAAAGCACAATCGAGTTTTGCTTGTTTGTTAAAATTGAGAAATTATCTCACACATATTTACATATTGATAAGATAGAAAATAGAAAAAAATTATTTAAATTTTATAAAGGTTAAATGGTTCGTCTTTTGAATAGCTCCCCTCCCTTCCCTTCCCTTCCCTTCTTATGCTTATATGCCAAACAATATATTGTTAAAATGTCTCTACTTCTCTCCCTTGTAATCAATTTAAACAAAAGATCATTTAAATCGCTCCCATCTCTTTCCTCCCTCCCTCTATCTCTCCTCCTTTTTCTGCCCTCCCCTTTTTTCTATTAAATTTTTTTTTTTTTTGAGAGCCAAACACAATGTTAAGGATTGCACATGTGGATCTACTAAGAATGCGCTTACCCATCGTGAGGAAGATCGAATCATCCGATTCTTTGAAAGGTCTGAAGGATCAATTTTCTTCGATCAAGTCTCAGATTTTGCTTATCGATCCGTTGCCTTCAATGCATCTCTTGTGCCTCAAAAAGAAAGAAAAGTGAAAGTACAACACTGGCTTAGATATAAATTAACTGAACTGACAAAATGTTAAACTATACTTCCCAAGATCAGTTGGATTTAGAATACCAAGTGCCCTTTGACACTCCTTCATAACAGATTTGCATTAAAAAAAAATCCGTACTCAACAGAACTGGGCGATCGCTCAACTCCTTTTTGGGTAGACCCAATTACATTCTTCGTTTGTTCTTGCTTCGCTAATTAAAAACATGGACACCCAGGGAACCAAGCTTCCAAACTTATTTGATTTCCACTCCATTAAATTACTTTACTAATTATTTCTTAAGAAATATTTTTAACTTGAAAATCTCCATCTTTTAATTATATCAGCTTTATGTGAATTCTCCAATCCACCCTTATTAATAACAATTATTAAAATAAAACTATATTTAAATAGCAATAATTAAATATAATAATTATATTAAATTATATTCCTCTTATATACCCTTATTGCTTTTTGGTAATTATATATTTATAAGTGATTTTAATAAATAAAATCCAAATATAATTCACATTCTCAATGTTACTGATGAGAAAAAAATATTTAAACACAAATTATGATTAACCAATATTATTTTTAACGGGTGTCAATTACAAAAATTATGATGACATAAAGTCATGGCTGTTCACTGCTAATCCAAGTGGACACTAAGTTCAAGTGCATTGGTTTCATTTTTTTTTTTTTAACTGAGCTTAAATTCAAATTTGAAATTGATTTCATGGGTGATGGTATAATACTTATGGCAGGATTGTGATCATTTTTCATCGAGTTTGACATGATATAAATGTAAAATTTCACACTAATTGAAAAAAATAAAATTTCAAATTGATTTTAAATTCATGTACGATAATTTTGAAATTAAATTAACTTCAAAATAAATTTAATAACATTACTGAAACCGTTTTCATTAAAATAATAAAATCTAGTGATGTTAAAAATAATAAAAATCTCTTATATGATTTTAAATTGGTGATTGAAAATTAACTAAAAGTTAAATATTAAATTACATGGTTTTTTTAAAATCCATATATGAAATTCAGGACATTCAATCTGCAGTTTGTTCTAATGTCTGTTAATAACTGTATTGTAATGTGCGTTTTGGGGCTTCTGGCAAGATAGGCCGAAAAGAACGAAGGGGAGTTCGTTTTCGCCAAGTGATCTGTAATCCCTTTATCGTCCCCATTTGATTCCGACGGTTTTCTTCTGCAAGATTCCAACTAGCAAACACAGGTATATTGTTTTGATTCTTAGTTTCTGATTTCTCCTGCTTTCCTCTGAGTCTGAGGGATCTTTTCTTCACGGCAGAGCACCCTGAAGCAGACGACGATGGACGGCGCCGCACCGTACCTTCCCGAAGAAGTCATCGCCAACATTCTCAAGCGGCTGCCGATGAAATCCATAATACGATTTCAATGTGTCTGCAAGTATTGGAGAGATCTCATCAAGACTCCATCTTTCATCCAAGACCATTTCCGCCACTCATCTCTACAAAACCCTTCTCTTTTTATCGGGCAGTCCAATGGAGATGATCCTTTCCGCTTATATTTGCTCAACTGCAAGATGCAACTTCGTGAGTTTGATAAGGCGCCTTTCGTCGGTCCCTTGGTGGGCGTTTGCCTCGTCGGTTCTTGCAATGGCTTGCTTTGCCTCGCCGATTATAACATCGGTCCTCCTGCCCCTTTGTTGTGG